GAATTCACCACTCAGCTGGCTGGGGAATTCTGGGAGTTGAAGTCCACACATCTTAAAGTTGCCAAAGCTGAGAAACACTGGTCTAGGTACTACTTTAGATTACAAAGAATGGCATTCAGAACTCTAGATTAAAAAAAACCAAAAACCTGAATATAGCAAACTAACAACTAATGAAAACCACTTGCAGTTTAGCCTTTCTGACACGCACTTATCTGTATGCAGGGAGTTTTTTGTTTTTTTTTACAGAAGAGCACTCAGTCAGATACATGTGGTATCATCATCAAGCATCCTTTAGCATATGGCAGTGTGGTAGTGACGTGTAGCCTCTTTATTGTGACATTCTTCTAGGATCTTCTGGTTATTTAAAAAAAAAACACTGTGTCATAGAAGGACAAACAGCCTCCACTGTACAATGTAGTTATGCATTTTTAGCTGCTACCAGAAGCTTATCCAAGCCAGTGTGGTGTAGTGGTTAAGGTGCTGAACTAGGACCTGGAAGGACCATGTTTAAGACCACTTTCAGCCATGGAAGATCATTGCATATCTTAAAGCCATTCATTATCTCTCAGCCCAATCTACCTCAAAAGGGAGTTGTGGGAAAAAATAGGAGAGAGCACTAGGTACACTCCCTTGAGCTCCTGAATGAAAACTAGCCCATAAATTGAATAAATACATAATCAAGAAACATTGCCAACCTTATCCTTTTTCCCTTTACATGCTTTATAATGAATCAAGGTTGGGGCATTATGGGAGAAACAAAATGGTGGGACAAGGTGACTAATATTGTACTGCTCCTATGTGCTATAGGCAACATCATAATTACTGCCACAGAAGATCACAACTGAAGGGAGGGGTTGGGTGGTCCAACGCAGGACAGAAGAACCACTTGTGTGAAGACCTATAAAGGCCTGCTATAGGTTGGAGCCAGGCCATACCTGCAATTCATCTAAATCTCACCACTGATTTTCCATACTGATGATGACAGCCATTCTCCGGATTTACAACAGTCTTGAAAAGGACAGTAAGACAGTTTCTGATTTAGCAGAATCAAAGCTAAAGAACTATATACGGTGGAAGAGCAGTAGGCTGCATAAACGAGGAAGCTGTTAACAATATTGCATTTGCTTTCATATCTAAGTGAAGTATAATTTATTTGCTCACACACACAAATCTTTTAAACAATAAAAGACATATTTACAAAGCTCAGAAAAAAAGTTTAGAACAAAATAAGTTGCTGATGTTTTCTACCCCTGTCTGTCTGTCATCTGCTATACATTTTACATTGAAACTTGGCATTTATCGCTTGCCATTATGCAAGCAAACTGCAAACTTCCTGAGCCCAGATTTAAGAGTCAAGGCATTCTGCAGTATGAGCAATTAGAAAAATATTTCACCTCATTGTAATAATACAGAGAGTACTTTGTACTGAGTAATTGCTTCGGAGAAGAACTGAATTAAGTTATGCAATTAAAAGCACTGTAACAATGCTTAAAAAAAAAAAAATCTTAGGTCAAATCTTGCATTCTTAGGTAGGTCAAACATATTGTTGTTAACTAGCCAGGTATTCTCACATGAGTTCGCTAGATCACATGGTAAATGCATATGCTGTGCTAAGCCTCCATACAATTTGCTATACAATTCAGGGAATTGGGAAGAGAATTGAATTAGAACTAGAGTAGCATAACTTGATGCCTGTGCAGAAATAATTTTTGGTGACAAGCACACTACAGTAATAATATCTTAAACTGACCCAAGCTGTCTTTAAATGTCTTAGTAGATCAGTCAAGCTTCAGTCAGGACTCCAGAAATTTATCTGAAATTAAGGAAATTATTGCAAAGATGACACCCCCCCCCCCCCCCCATGGCTATTTGGAGGCCACTGGCAAGAGGGGCAAGGATTTCAAAAAATTACGTTCCTCCTATGCATACAAAGAGTTTGGCAGATCTGCAACTAATGTTATTTCTAATGAAAGAATTAAATGGCATAGAAATGAAATGAAAAGCTTGTAGGAAATAGAATGTCAGCAAAATCATAATTGGCTGATTTTTTTTAGCTAACTCCCACTCAGTCTGGTATCAGATCTTTATGTTATGAAAAACAGTATCTAGGGCTGTATGATGTATTATATCTATGGGAGTTCCTCGCTGGTTTTTTCATTAGGAGTTTATTACCCTCTGATCACAGAGTACTAAATGAGTGGCAGGAATCCAAAAATACACCTACCTCAAAGACACCCTATTTGTTGTGCAATACCATACACTTACTAAATTTAGGCCTGGTGCAAGCAAGGGCAGTGTTAGTGAAACTTGCAATGTACACTTTTGGCATACTCCTCCCTGAGGCTGGTCCAGTTTCTCTGAAGAGGTGCTCTTAGAGTAGCTTTCCCAATTTGATGTCCTCCATACCAGTTGGATTACAACTTCCCATCACTCTATTCCAAGGACAGGCAACCTGGGATCTTCCAAGCTTTTAAATTATAACACCCATCAATTCAACTGTCATGGCAAATGGCAAGGGGATGTGGGAATTATAGTTAAAAAAAAGCTGGAGGAAACCAGATTGCCTATCCCTTTTCTAGTGAATGTGGTCTATGTTGCATGTGGATGGAAATGCATATGGAGAATATTGATACACAAAGCCTGCCTTGAGATACCAACAAGAAATATCCTGACCATCACAAAGTCTTGAGGAAAAGTTAAAAAGGAAAAGTTAATAGTTCACACTTAATCTTGGTCCATTTGGAATTGTATGCAGTGCTCTTGGGCATCACCCTTGAAACCCAAGGTATTATTTGGAATGTGCCCATCAATTTTTATTCTAATATCGAAACTTGAAACTCTAGTATTTGATTGCAAGTCTTGGAGCCTTTAAAAATGTGGAAGCTGAGATGAATTTGCCCCCTGTGAGGAAACAGAGGGTATTTCTGCTCTGAAGCATTTTCAGGTAGAACCTATGGTGCTCTGTGAAATTTGTAAATAGGCTGTTTCTCCATGGGAGAGAAGTCCTACCTCTCTTCTAGTCCCTGAGCTTCCCCTGCCCTGGCAGGTTCTATAAATGGAATGCTAATTTGACAGCTTCTTATTTTTCCCCCGTATTCCAGGCTAAATAAGCCGAGATGAAAGGAACCAGATTCAAGTCAGTTCTTTCCTTCTTTTGGAATTGGCCCAGTATCCAAAATGTTGTGTGGAGCAGCTCAGAGTAATTATTTCTTCTCCTTATTCTCAGTGGCGAGAGACTGGCAGAAGCAAAGATGATCCTGCATTGTTTTCAAACTGCTTTTGAGGGATTCAGGAATGGAAGCAGCCATGGTGTGGAAGTGTCCTCAGATGCCCAAGGTAGAATTAAGTTTGAGATCAGAGATACAGTACAGAAGAAAGGAATGCCATTCTCCTGGTACTTATTGGAACTCCATGATTACTTTTAACTTCTAAAAAAATCAGTCAGAACTCCAATCATAGATCTCCACCAATACATGTGGAGCATAAAGAAAATTACTTCCTCTATTGCATTGCCTTATTATATAATCTTAAATTTTAAAGTTTGGTTGAAGTTTCCAGGTATCTACCTCAGCAGTTCTCTAATTCTTCAGTGAAATTCCAGCCTCCTTGCATTTCATCCGGGTACTTTTTTCATAGCCACAGTGTTGGATTGGCTCATGACTATCACAATCCTGAAGAAAATATGTATTTCTGTTGCTTTTAGGAATATCATGTATTTTTTCCCCAGTGTCATA